GGAAGAGCATTCTGACTATGTCTATGACGTGCTAACCGTCAGGCCTGCAAAGCACTACCCAATGAAGTAGGAGGACTCTTCCTAATGATCTTAACAAGTAGTGAAAAAGCCACTTTATTGGTTTTGTTACGACTCTAATTTAGATCCCGTTTATTTTATCGATTTAAATTTTATTATAGTAAAAAATTACAGTAAAAAGCTAATCAAAATAATTAATGATTTAATCTAATGTTTTTGCTACAGTAAAAAGTTTTCACACAAAATTACATCTCAACTCGAATTACAAATTCGAATCGGCGAAGTGAACGGACCTTTAATTATTTTATGTTTTTAATCAAAATAATTAATGATTTAGTCTTTTTTTTTAAAAAAATTTCTGCACTCTAAGTATTAGTTAAAGAGTAAGCTATTTTAGAGAATGTCTTTTATACTAACTAAACAGAGCTAAAGAGTCATTTATTTTTTGTATTATTTTAGCTTCATCCACTTAAGATGTGACATTTTTAAGAAGTTTTAATTGTAGCAGAAAAAATTAGATTTGATATTTTCTGAGAGTTTTTAATTGTAAAAACTTAAAACTGAAAACTCAAATCAATGAAATGAACAAGATCTTTATTCTTTCAATTGTAACAAATGTAAATATTTTTCTTTAAATTCAATAAAATTATTTATATTTTAAATTCAATAAATATTAAATATTAAAATAATCTATATTTAATTAAAAAAATAGTATGGTTAGAGTGAATCACTTAAAAATTACTAGTTAAAATAAATTTTTAGTCATTTTAACTAAAATTTAGAGAGTTATTGAAGATGCTCCTGTAGTTTTAGTTATCGTTCAAGTTCAACTTCAAATGGATTTCTACTATGTGAGACCTTATTTAGTCTTTAGATCAAAAGAAGCCGTTCAAAGGTTCAGCGAAAGGTTGGATGTGCTTGAACTTGTCGTTGATTTGAGGAATGAAGACCTCAATTTGAAGAGCAGAAATTGAGCCGGTATTATCTTATATGAGCTCTTTAAACCATTGTCAAAACGGGTATAGAAAAAATTTGATGTTTTTTGTATCCAGGAATAGGTACGCAAAAAAAAAAAAAAAAAAAAAAAAAAATCAAAAATCAAAAATCAAAAATCTGATTTTTTTTGTAACATATACAAGAAGTGTGCCTCGGAATCAAACCGATCTCTGCATGTTAAAATGATTTAGAATGGGGTTTGACGATTTATCAGGAACAATTTGTATTATGGGATGGGGCTGCTCTTTGGTAGTTGCTAACTAGTTGAGTTAATAAATTCTTGAGAAACATATTTGTTTTTTTCTTTTTAAGATAAGAAATCGATGGTCATTAAAATAGTTACATATCACGCATGTCTTACATATCGTTCGTGTATGATATGCGACTCTGTACACATTTATATTAAAATTTGTTTTGAGAGCACACTAAAAGCAATAAAATGTTGCATGGACACAAAAACGTAAAGTGCAAGTGATAATTTGTGTCACTTATTGTATCCGTGTCGTATTAAGGTCTGTTCTATCTTAATTTCACTAAATCTAAACACGATACATGTTAGTTTTTCAAAAACTCATAACACGGATTTATGCCATGACTGCTTTACGAGTTGAAACAATATGATATGAAGTTGAGATTGACATGAAAGTCTTGTACTTTTGTTGAGTTCTTTGTACATTATAATGAACTTGAAATTCATAGCCCTCTAAAACAATCACGGGACAAACGAGGTGGACAGCCATGTTGGCTACTATCATTCAACTCCTTTTGTGTACCCCAATTTTTAGTATATCCCCCATACTTACTTTTTAGAATTAAAAATGAAAAAGAAAAAGTAAAAAAGAACAAACTTGCCTTTACGATATCAAATTCACCTTTCGCTTTTTGTGAAATTGATCATACCAAAATCACCTTCCATTTTCTCCTTTTCCTTTGCAATCCGAAAAGTTATCGAGTTTAATGAAGATATAGTATATAAGTAAGGTTTTATTCATCATTTTGTTGTGAATGTATAGAAAAAAAATTTCATTTCATCGGAATTAAAATGAAAAAATTATGACATTTTTATTAATAGAAAAAATAATGTTCATTAACTTGAGTTTAAGTTTAAAAACTTGAGTTGAATGAGAAACTTAAACTCAGATTTTAGTCTCAAACTTAAGTTAAAACTCAAATTTTACAAAAGAACATAAATTTAAATAAAATTGTAATTTGAGTTCAAATTTTTTTTTGAATTTAGGTGCAAATGAGTGCACTTTACCCAAACCCATATCTAAACCTATTTTCCATTTCTTAATGGCCTCTCCAACCCATGACATGAAAATGTTGTAAATTTCACACCAAAATAGCGTAACTTTTACTTGAGCCGAATAATGTAGGTGATCTTCCCTGATTCGTGAGGTAAACTTTCTACACTCATTAAGCTAATTTTTTTTCTTTGTTTATTTTTATTCCTTTTGCACTTTACCCGAACCCATATCTAAACCCATTTTCCATTTCTTAAGAGCTCTCCAACCCATGACGTGAAAATGTTGTACATTTCACACCAAAATTTTTCTCCAAACCATTACACTATTTCTAAGAAAGAAAAAAAAAAAATATATATATATATATATATATATATTCTGTGTATATTCTTCTCTTTGTCTCCCTTTTTATATTCCTTTTATACTCCGTACTATATTCTAAATTTGGTGTTGAGTGAACAGTGCGACACTAAATTTGAGTTTTCACTATTCACCCCACACCATTTACACTAAAATGACGTGAAAAATGGTACTCAGTTGGAGAAATTTCCCCACGATAAACCCACTTTTTTGCCCCAATCTAGCGTGGGCTGGAGTTGCTCGAAACACAACCCATGATACTACTATAGCATCATCAACGAAGCATTATATAACTATTTTTTTTTTCCCCGTTAATTTCCACCGTTGAAATTTTTGGAGGAGTGGCGTTGAGATATATTTTGATTGCATAGAAGTGTTAAGTTTATGATGGTTACTAGTTATTACACATGGAGGTATATATGGTAATAGCAATATTTTTCTTTATACTGGGTAGTGATGATTCTATTCACACACGCTTTTTTACTCTTCACATCCTATTTTAAATTTACATTATACATACAAGACTTTTTTTGATGTTCTTTTCTTTTTGAAACACCGGTATTTCCCATTTTTTAACTGTCAAATCTGTATTAAAATCTGTCTGTTATGCATATTTTTTCATTCTAGTGTGAAATAAGAGGAAAAAAAGACAAATATCCTTTTAAAGTGCATGAGTCTAGATTTTCATCCATTACTCTTCATTAATTCTCTTTAAAATCAAATAAAATAAAAAAAGAAGTAATTACACTACATGGAAAAATTTCATACATTAAGTTGAAATTTAACAAAATTTTAATAATATTATAAATATAACAAAAATGACATAATAATTATCATAATGATATTATATTTTATATTATATAATGATATAGTCATTATTTTATTGACATAAAAATGATATAAAATTTTGTTATTCTTATAATATTTCAAAATTTTTATTAAATTTAAACTTTTATATCAAAATTTTTGTATATGTGTAAATCACTAGGGGTGAACATCAAGTGGGTTGGGTGGGTTTTTTAGATTTTTCAACCCACCCAATTAAATTTGGGTTGGTTGATTTCAAATTTAACCTACTTAATTAACTCAAAATTTAAAATCAACCACCCAATTAAAATTTGAGTAGGTTGATTGGGTTGAACATAATAAATAAATAAATAAATAAATAAAGCTAATCATTCAACCCAAAATAAGAAATGTATAAAAAGAAAGCTAACTTTCATCATAATATTAGCCTTATAAAGCTCTAAAATGATCACATAAGTTATACACTGATATAAAAATAAAATATGTGCAAAACAAGTTTAAATATAGAAGTTGTAAACCAACAAACAAACAATAATAAAAACTCATACAACGTAAAACATAATAGGTTGTCAAGTAAATAATGTAAAATATGAGACAAAAACTATATATTATGAGGTAGGAAAATATTTATTTATATAAATAAATAGATTGGATGTGTTCGGATTAACTTGGGTTAAGAAAAGCTCAACCCAAACCCACCTAATCAATAGTTGGGTTTGGTGAGTTGGGTTGAACTCTTAATTGAGTTGGTCAGGTTCGGGTTAAAAATGGATCGGGTTGGGTTGGGTTGGATGGGTTTTTTAGATTTTTCAACCCACCCAATTAAGTTTGGGTGGGTTGATTTCAAATTTAACCTACTTAATTAACCCAAAATTTAAAATCAACCCACCCAATTAAAATTTGAGTAGGTTGATTGGGTTGAACATAATAAATAAATAAATAAAGCTAATCATTCAACCCAAAATAAGAAATGTATAAAAAGAAAGCTAACTTTCATCATAATATTAGCCTTATAAAGCTCTAAAATTATCACATAAGTTATACACCAATATAAAAATAAAATATGTGCAAAACAAGTTTATATATAGAAGTTGTAAACCAACAAACAAACAATAATAAAAACTCATACAACGTAAAATATAATAGGTTGTCAAGTAAATAATGTAAAATATGAGACAAAAACATATTTATTTATATAAATAAATAGATTGGATGCTTTCGGATTAAATTAGATTAAGAAAAGCTCAACCTAAACCTACCTAATCAATAGTCGTGTTTGGTGGGTTAAGTTGAACTCTTAATTGAGTTGGTCGGTTCGAATTAAAAATGAATCGGGTTGGGTTGGGTTGAGTGTATTAATCGGGTTGGTCGGGTTTTTTGTTCATCCCTTTAAATCACCCTAAAAAACCAGGTCGACCATGTTTGGTAAGGTTTTTGGGCAGAAAAATTAGACCCGGTACACGGTGGGGGATTGGACCGGCCCGGTCCAATATGTTTGGCCTGACCCGAAAGCAGTAAGGTCATTATGGTCATTTCAAGCCATCCCCAACCAAATCACTCCCTCCGCTTCTTTCGGTCCCTTGGTAGTTCGTCCACTTCTGCTCCGACCTCGCGCCAGACATGGCTATCTCCTCCCTCCGACTCCCGCTCTCGCCCTTTCTCGCAAAGTCTCCATTCCCAACTCCTACTTTTAGAACTTCTTCAATCCTGATAATACCCCTACGACTGACCCCAATTTACTTCCGCTGCCTGTCTTCATCCCAAGACACCACCCCCCACTCGGAGAACAAATGGGAACCCTTTCGAAAGAAGAAAGTCGTCATGCGTGTCGGCTACGTCGGAACCGATTACAGAGGTTCCTTTCATTATAAATTTATCATTTCATATCTACTTTAAGCTGTTTTACAGCTTTCCCAAATTCCACTTAAGATTTTTTTTTTAATTGATTTCAGGTCTACAAATGCAACGAGACGAGCATTCATTATCAAGTAAGCTTCTTCATTCCCTTGTATTTTTTTAGCTTAATTGCGATAATGGAAAGATTCAAAGAACGTATTTTGGGTGCTAAATAGTTGGTATTTACTTGGGTTATGGACTTTTTTTTTTTTTTTTTTTTCATTTGTTATTATTCTGGGGAAGTCATAGTCATATAGTGTTAATATTGACTTGAGCAACATAAATTCAATCAGCTTAGCATGCGTGGATGGGGTCTGGCTAAATTTTCAAGCATTGCCATTTTGAAATGTAGCTATTGAGAAGGAATTGGAAACTGCCATTTTTAAGGCTGGTGGCATCCGTGATAGTAATTTTGGGGACCTCCAGAAAATCGCGTGGGCGAGAAGTAGCCGAACTGATAAAGGAGTAATTAACCATCTCGTTGCCCCATTTGTCTCAATCCGTTGTATATCCACTGTTTGTGTTGCTTGTGCTGTATTTTTTGTTTTCTTGGTATTAGAAGGTTTTTGTTTTAAATCTTTTGTTGCATAGGTTCACTCGTTGGCGACTACAATATCGTTGAAAATGGAAATCCCCGAATATGCATGGAAGGATGATCCTTGTGGGATTGCTCTTGCAAGTTGCATTAACGCTTATCTTCCTCGCAACATCAAAGTTTTTAGCATTTTACCTTCACAGAAGTGAGAGCTTAATCCTACCTGTTTGGTTATTGGAATGCACAAGTGGCATAGTAGTAACTTCAATTTGAAGTAATTTTGATTGTTTACTATTGAATTTCAAAGGGATAGAAAAGAAGCTAATAATTTGGGTTGAGCCTTACTTTCATTATGCGTTTGGTATGGCTAATTGAACTATAAAAAATTACTTGCACGATTCTCTTCCACAGTTTTTATGGTTATTTATTTATTGTACTATTTTTCAGGAGTTTTGATCCCAGAAGAGAGTGTAATCTGCGGAAGTATTCGTATCTCCTCCCCGCAGATGTTGTTGGGATCAAAAGTAATTTTACCACAGATAAAATTGATTTTCATATCTCGGATTTCAATGAGATATTGAACACTTTTGAGGTCCTGCATTTTCTTTAGCTGTCTTTTTTTTTTTTTTTTTATTTCTTGTTTTTGTTTGTTCTGAAACCACTTTCCTGTGAGAAAATTTCTGAAATTATTAAGTTTGTTTCTTTAAATGTCTTCTGCAGGGAGATCATCCTTTTCATAATTATACAATGAGATCGAAGTATAGGAAGCAGTTTCCTGCAAAGAAATCATACAAGAATGGCTGTGCATTGAGAAGACAGAGATCATCTGAAGAGGAATCAGAGTTTGAGTCCGGGGCAAGTGATGGTGAAGAAAATTTTGAATTGAATGGTCTAAGTACCTCAAATTATGAGGGACTGGACCAAAATTTTTCAGCGTCCAATGTTTCTCATAAGAATGTAGTTGATGGTCACGAGAAGCATGGAGATGTCCAAAATTCCAGTTTACCTGTTCTTGCAAGATGGCTATATGAACCTGATGAGACCGATAGAATAGGTGCTTCGCATTTTAGAAAGATTTTTCGTTGTTCTTGTACAAAGCTAGAGAAGTCTCTTGGATATAATTATGTTGAGATCTCCATATGGGAGGAGTCTTTCATGCTACATCAGGTGATTCTTTTTCCTTAAAAATTAGCTCTTTTTTTTTTTTTTTTTTTTTTTTTTGAGGGCAATCAAAAGGGTCTGTTTCTGAACAGTAATAAAATCCTTCGAGGCAGATGAAACGTCTCTCTCTCTCTCTCTCTCTCTCTCAC